AGGATTAGGGCATCCGGTGTCCCTAAGACAGCTTTTTGGACTCGGTATGGGCATGTTGAGTTTCTAGTAATGTCATTGGGGTTGACAAATGCCCCAGCAGCATTCATGAATTGGATGAACCGAGTGTTCAAGCCCTATTTGGATTCCTTCCTGATTGTTTTTATTGATGATATCTTGATCTACTCCCGCAGCCGAGAGGAGCATGAGCAGCATCTTCGGATCGTTCTTCAGACTCTGAGAGACAGCCAATTATATGCTAAGTTTTCGAAATGTGAGTTTTGGCTTAGTTCAGTTGCATTCTTGGGCCATGTTGTATCAGCAGAGGATATTCAGGTAGATCCTAAGAAGATTGAGGCAGTCAAGGACTGGCCTAGGCCCACATCAACTACAGAAATTTGGAGTTTCTTGGGCTTGGAGGGTTATTACCGTCGGTTTGTGGAGGGGCTTTCATCTATAGCAGCCCCGATGACCAGATTAACCCAGAAGGGTGCCCCGTTCAGGTGGTCGGATGAGTGTGAGGCGAGCTTTTAGAAGCTCAAGACAGTTTTGACTACGGCACCGGTGTTGGTATTGCCCCACGGGTTCAAAACCATATACACTATATTGTGACGCATCTCGTATTGGACTTGGTGCTGTGTTGATGCAGAATGGCAAGGTTATTGCGTATGCTTCTCGACAGGTAAAGATTCACTAGCAGAATTATCCAGTTCATGATTTGGAGCTAGCAGCCATTGTTCAAGCGCTGAAGATTTGGAGGCATTATCTGTAAGGCGTGTCGTGTGAGGTGTTCACGGATCATAAGAGTTTGCAGTATTTATTCAAGTAGAAGGAGCTAAATTTGAGGCAGAGGAGGTGGTTGGAGCTATTGAAAGACTATGATATCACCATCTTGTACCATCTCGGGAAGGCCAATGTGGTGGCCGATGCTTTGAGTAGGAAGTCAGCTAGTATGGGCAGCCTTGCGTATATTCCGGTCGGTGAGAGACCGCTTGCATTAGATGTTCAGGCTTTAGTTCGTGAGGTTGGATGTTTCTGAGCCCAGTTGTTTTCTAGCTTGTACAGTCGCTCGGTCTTCCTTGTTTGAGCGTATCAGGGAGCGGCAGTATGATGATCCTCATTTGTTTGTCCTTAGGGACACGGTGCGGCACGGAGATGCCAAGCAGGTTACAGTTGGAGATGATGGAGTTATGAGGATGTAGGGTCGTATTTGTGTGCCTAATGTGGATGGACTTCGTGAGTTGATTCTAGAGGAGGCCCACAGATCCTGGTATTCTATTCATCCGGGCCCCGCTAAGATGTATCAAGACTTGCAGCAGCATTATTGGTGGAGGAGGATGAAGAAGGATATTCTTGCATATGTAGCTCGGTGTTTAAATTGTCAGCAAGTAAAGTATGAGCATCAGAGACCTGGTGGTTTGCTTCAGAAGATTGAGATTCCTGAGTGGAAGTGGAAGCGTATCACTATGGACTTCGTTGTTGGACTCCCACGGACTCAGAGGAATTTCGACGTAGTGTGGGTTATTGTGGATAGGCTGACTAAGTCAACACATTTTATTCCTGTGGCAGTTTCCTATTCTTCAGAGCGGTTGGCAAAGATCTATAACCGTGAGATAGTTCGTCTTCATGGTGTGCCCGTGTCTATCATTTCTGATCGAGGTACGCAGTTTACCTCACATTTCTGGAGGGCAGTACATCATGAGTTGGGTACGCGGGTCGAGTTGAGCACAACATTTCATCCTCAGACGGACGGACAATCCGAGTGTATTATTCAGATTTTGGAGGATATGTTCCGCGCCTGTGTTATTGACTTTGGAGGTTCTTGGGATAAGTTCTTGCCGTTAGCAGAGTTTGCCTACAACAAAAGCTATCAGTCGAGCATCCAAATGGCTCCCTATAAGGCATTATATGGTACGCGGTGCGGTCGCCGATTGGATGGTTTGAGCCGGGAAGGCTCGGTTGTTGGGTATAGATTTAGTACAGGATGCCTTGGATAAGGTTAAGATCATTCAGGATAGACTTCGCACAGCTCAGTCCAGAGAAAAGAGCTATGCCGACCGTAAGGTTCGTGATGTGGCATTCATGGTCGGAGAGCGAGTGTTTCTTCGGGTGTCGCCCATGAAGGGCGTGATGAAATTTGGGGAAAAGGGCAAGTTAAGCCTAGGTTCATCGGGCCTTTAGAGATTCTTGATCGAGTGGGAGAGATGGCTTACAGACTTGCGTTGCCACCAGGATTATCAGCGGTACATCCAGTATTTCATGTGTCCATGCTTCGGAAGTATCACGGCGATCCATACCACATGTTAGATTTCAGCACTATCCAGCTGGACAAGGATTTGACCTACGAGGAGGAGCCGGTAGCCATTTTAGACCGATATGAGTCAATTGAGATTGAAGAGTTATCCTTCGGTTCGTGTGCAGTGGAGAGGTCATCCTGTTGAGGCAGCTACCTGGGAGTCCGAGTCCGATATGCGGAGCAGATATCCCCATCTTTTCACTAGCTCGGGTACTTTTCTACGTCCGTTCGAGGACGAACGGTTGTTTTAGAGGTGGAGAATGTGATGACCCAAAGGGTCATCTTTTGTTTTAGAATCCGATTCCGTATTTCGAGGCCTAGAAAACCTCATTTTATCTCTCCTCAATTTGTGTGTGCAGTCCGGGCGTGTTTCCGGAAAGCCTTTATGTGAAAATTTGAGAAAAATATTAAGTTTTGCCTTTAAAAGTAATTTTAGTTGACTTCGGTCACCATTTTGAGTAAACGGACCCGGACCCATGATTTGACGGTCCCGGACCCATGATTTGACAGTCCCGGAGGGTCCGTAGAAAAATATGGGACTTGGGCGTATGCCCGGAATCGAATTCCGAGGTCCCTAGCCCGAGAAATGAGTTTTTGAAGAAAATTGTTAAACTGGAAATATAATGGTTTTTAGAAATTGAATAATGTTTGAAGTTGTTGGTATCGTGCCCGTATTTTGGTTCCAGAGCCCAGTACAGTTTCATTATGATATTTTTACCCTATCTGTGAAATTTGGTGAGAAACGGGACTGATTTGACGTGATTCGGACCATTGGTTGAGAAAATAGAACTTTTGAACTTTCTTGAAAATTTTATGCAATTTGATGCTAAATCTGTAGTTCTAGGTGTTATTTTGGCGGTTTAATCGCACGAGCAAGTCCGTATGATGTTTTTAGACTTGTGTGCATGTTTGGTTTGGAGCCCCAGGGCTCGGGTGAGTTTCGGATAGGCTACGGAGTGATTTGGAACTTAGAAAATTAGCCGGTATCCTTCAGCTGTGTTGCAGGCCTTAGACCTCGCAAATGCGAGGTCAGGGTTCGCATTTGCGGTCACTATAGAGGTCGCATTTGCGAGGCCTTCATCGCATTTGTGAAAGAAGGCTAGGCCAGCAGTTATCGCAATTGCGAGAATTTCTTCGCATTTGCAAAGTGAACTGGGAAAGGGTAGGGATCGCAAATGCGATCATTTCATCGCATTTGCGGAGGAGCATGTTCGCATTTGCGAACTATCCTTCGCATTTGCGAAGGCAGCAGAAATGCGAGGGGTTCACATTTGCGATACCTTTCTCGCATTTGCGAGCTTCGCAAATGCGAAATGCGAAGCTCAGGTCGCAAATACGACATCTGCAGCTGATCAAAACATAACATAGACGGGATTTTCTCTCATTCTTCACATTTTTCAAATCCTAGAACCTTAGAGGCGATTCTCCCAAGACCAAATCTTCCCCAAAACTTTGGTAAGTGATCCTAACCCACTTTCTTTCACTTTCCCATCACATTTTCATGAATTTCCAACCAAAAATCTAAGATTTCTATGCTAGAAATTGGGGGTTTGGGTAGAATTAGGAATTTTTATAAATTGGGGATTTAGACCTCGATTTGGGGTCGGATTCCAAAACCAATTGTATATCCGGGCTCGGGGATGAATGGGTAATTGGGTTTTGGTCCGAATTTCGAGTTTTGACCAAGCGGGCCCGGGGTCGGTTTTTGACTTTTTGGGGAATTGTTGGAAAACTTGTAATTATGCATTGGAAATGATTTATTTAGCGATAATTGATAGTATTAAGTTAATTATGATTAGATACGAGCGGATTGGAAGTGGAAACTAAGGGAAAAGCGGTAAATGAGGCTTGAGTTCGGCTGTGGAATCGAGGTAAGTGTTGTGGCTAACCTTAGCTTGAGGGATTAGGTATTGTTGCCTTATTTGCTACGTGTTTAGTTGTTGAGTACGACGTATAGGTGAGGTGACGAATATCTATACGTTGTTGTCGGGTCATAGCATGTGAGTGGGTCTTATACTTGTGATTGTTGTGTTTCTTTATACGTATTGCTCATGCTTAAACCGGTTATTCTCCATGTTAAACAAGTCTTGTTATGTTTTCCTGATATTGGATATTGGTTGAGTATTGACTCAAGTTGAGATTTATATTGTGAAGTTAAATGTTAAAACTAATAGGATTATAAGACTAATATCTAGAATTCTGGTTATATCCTTTTATTATGCTTAATATTATAAGGTTACTTTTGTAAACCGACATTGTATTCATGTTTTTATAATAATATAGATAGATATATAATATAGAATGTATTACATAAATTGGAGGATTTATAATATCAAGGGCATAATAGACTTTTCAGGTGAAAGTTTTATAAAATCTTGTCAAAGTGATTATCGTGATAACTAGAGCATAATAAAATGATTTTTGTTTAACAAAATAAAGAAAAGTGACTTTTAGGTAATGAACACAAAGTTGAATGACTTTTACGTAATAAGAAAAAGAAAAATGACTTTTGCGTAATGAACCAAAAGCTGAATGACCATCCATGAAATTTACTCCAAAATAAGTGTCCATTTATATAATCAAGAAAAAATTCAATTTGTTTTTCCAAAATTACCCTTATGTATGTATCCCTAAAAAGTTATTTACTCCTCACATTTGAGAAAAGAAGTAAGTGCTACTATAACTATGGTGCAACATTTAATGAAGGGTAGTTTAGTCACGTTAACTATTTTCGTCTAGAATTTAGTATTTTCTTAAGCAAATTGATCACTTATTATGGACCGAAAGGAGTACTATCAGCATAGTGGTAATGGTTGATTAAATGTAGTGAACTAACCATGTGCTTCGGAGTACCCAGAAAGGAAAGCAGATTATACGAAGTGATGCAAAAGACACTGCGAAAATAATGAAGAAAACATCAGCAATCCTTTGGAAGCCACTGTATCTTGACATCTTAGCAATCTCCATAAATACATCACTTCCGTCATGAATTGCTAGAACCACTGATCCAACACGGGTTAACCTGCAAAAATAGAATGCTCAAAAACTCACACTAACATATTTCTGCTAAATAATAGTAATACTCGAAAAAATGTGAATTTTTGGATCAAGGTTAGCCATATTTGTACCCGAATATGTAAGACAGCACAATGAGTGATACTGTTGTTATGTGATGAACCATTTGGGCAGCAAAATCTTTGCGTCTTGTTTCCCAGTAGAGCAATGCAAATATGGAGTATAAGTAGAATCCTCCAGCATACATGTACAAACCTTGCAGCTTTAATCTGCCATAATTAAATTAACCAGGTTATAAAATAAACACTCTGTTCCTGATTCAGATATGATTATAAAATTTCAGAAGATGTTGAGAATCTCACTTAATTTTTAGATCAGGCCAAACCAGATCCCCAGGTCCTGACCAAAAATATCGAGTATTGGTGAACCAAGGCTCATTACAAGTAACAGCAAGTGCGAATATCTCAGCAGATAGAAAATATACTAATTTCCATGCTGACTCTTTGAATTTGTTGATCCTCCTCCTCCTCCTTCTACCGCCATTGATATTTACCAACTTTTGCTGATTTCCAAAAATCATGCGCGTAGCCAATGCCTAGCATCACGATAAATAAAAAAAAAAAAATATTGCCGAGACCAAATGATCAATCTCAGATTTTCAAGAGAGAAAAAAACATTAGAGAAAACAAACGCAGATTTTTGTTTACCTCGAAAACAAATCTGTCGAGTATGAATCGAACGATGGGGAAGAATAGAGCGAAAAAGATGAGAAAAATCAAATCTTTGTACTCAGGGTAAGACTCTTTCTCCCAATCAACTGAAGCAGCAGCTTGATACAAATTCTTCATCTCGGGCTTCTTTTCGAATCAATGGAAACTAACTGTAACAGACACTAATTAGTTTACCTTATATATTATATCATGTTTGACCAAAAAAGGTAATGAACTTTGTGTTTGTTAGAATGAATTACCAAAAGTGCTAGAGTAGTTAATTAGGAGTAGTAGCAAAGTCATATTATCATTGTGATATGTTCTGGAAGTTTCGCTGAGGAATTTTAGTTGAAAAATCAAAATCTGGCGGGTCGACTCTTTGATTAAAAGAGTACTAACTTTTAGTCCCAATTGGGTGGAAAGGACAAGAACCCCGACATCATCGATAAGATAAGAATCAAAAGCTGACAAACATTTCTTTCCATTTGAAATACAGAAAAATACTAGTGATTCATAATATGTTTACACCAAATTAAGTAATTTAATATAAGTCATAAATTAATAATTAAATAATAAAAATTTAAATGCAAGAAATGCAAATAAGTATTTCTTTTTTAACTTAAAGTCAATACATATTAGAAGTTCCGTGGTAGGCTTCGTGGTAATAAAGCCTTAAATCTTAAGCGTGGCTGCGCGGCAATGACTGATCTAGAGCATTATACATGGAAAACATAGTAACTTTTGTGTAGCTCTTGTATTTAAATTAAAAAATTAAGAAATATTTATCAATATCTAACTGCAAACACAATTATTATTACATATTAGTTTGAGATTACGATAGTAACTCATAAATTTAAATTTTGAATTCGTCTTTGCTGCGCACTAGTTGATGGAACAATTTCACCATCATTCTTTTCTACATGATTTTATGTCTAATTAACATTGACTTGACTAAAATACATCTTTTCAATAGATGAAAGTTGAGGTTTGATTAACGTATATTCCTCGTGTTTCCCTGTTAGTGATTTAAAGAAGTTTCTACTAATTAATAAGAGAACTTCATTCTAGAGATGTCAAAGTTAATCTAAATTTGTACGATCTGTCCAAATACCTTAAGTGTGACGGATTGGATGAGTCATGAGTGACATAAGCATATTAAATGAATTGAGTCGAATTTAAGCTGTCAAAGTATTAAGATAAAATAAGCTACTAAAAGAGATCAATTCAGCAAGTTGATCCCCAATCCAATATTGAAGGGCGTAGCTAAAAAGTATTACCCTATCTATCTATTATTAAAAAGAAAGAAGTCAATCATGAGAATTTGCCAAGTGTTGCATTAAGAAAATGCCATGTGGTTATTTTAGGATAAATTAGTTAAGTTAGGTAAATATAGTATTTGAATTTGAATTTAAAAAAAAAATATATATATATACAAACTGTGCAAACTAAAACTGCTTTATTCATAACTCGATAGAGGCTACTTCGGAAACAGTTTTCATTTCTCAACATAAGTCATCTTTTTTGGAACTCCCACAAACCCACTTCTCATCTGACAATAACCACCATCAACACACTTCATCTTTCTTCCAAAGTCTCTCAAAGGCCATATTAAATCCAGCTTTTCGGATCCTTTTCCATGGAAAATAAATAAAAAAATCACTTTTCACATCAAGCGGATATCACAAACAGAATCAGAAACAATGCAAAAAATTTTTGTTACCAAAGGTATGTTCTTTGATTACACTAGCATCTCTGAAATACCTTTTATGTATTTTTTTTAGTTGCAAGCTATAAGTAATAAGACCATTAGAGTAAAATTCTAATAACCGTTAATTTACTTTGTATATAAATGGGTAGAAAGATAACTTTGGCGATGATGATGGTATATAAAATTCAGGTATAAGTTATGAAGTCTTTATAGTGAAACAATCTACTGTAAAAGAATAAAAAAAGTATCGTATGAATTTAGCTTCTAAAAGGACTTGATCAAATGAAGTTGCTTGGAGAAGTTCAACAGTAATCGAGTTCTAAGCATTACGTTCCAATTCAAAAGTTGAAAAGCATAGAAGGGTAGATTATTTCCAGTCGATAGTCATCAAGTACTGAGACTAATTTTTAAAATGATTGATTTATTCTTGATCTTATAGCCAACATCATGAATTTCTTTGGTCTCGTGCACTAGAGGCACTACCAATTTTTGCTGATCATTAACAAAGTCTTGATCATCTCTCTCTCTCTCTCTCTCTCTATATATATATATATATATATATATATATAGATATATCCAATCAATTTTTCTTCTATATTTACTGGAAATATAGAGGTAAAAATTTGGTAAAAAGTCATATAGAAAGAAAGACAAAAAATACAGAAAGATGCAGATTGAGATAGCCTATGACTATTTATACTATGGGGTANATATATATATATATATATATATATATATATATATATATATATATATATATATATATATATATATATATTGATTTTCTTTTGAATTTGACATAAAAATAATACTCTTGGTAATCTTTCTGTACCAATTAGTTTAGTCTTCATACACTGCATGTAGATAATAAATTGTTGAACCCCCTAAATTTCAAATCTTTTTTTTTCTACATCAGAAAAGTAATTTTTGCTGACTATTGTCTTTTACTTGATAAGTAGATGTCTAATTTCATAAAAGGAGTGTTTCTGCACACACACATTGACATCAAAGCACTGGGTTCTCTAGAGGAAGTTCGAAATACGGGGGAGTCACGCAGCACAAATGTGAACGTGGGAGCTCAGATAGTGCAGTTTTTCAGAATGAAGTGACTAACCACTTATTTCACAATAATCATGGTAGATGTAAGGTCTAATGAGCAAGGTAAACATGTATATCTATTTTGGATTGATTGACAGAGAGATAGAAGCTACAAGGTCTAATAAGCATAACTTAACTCTCCCCGTCCCTTTATTTTGTGCCGTTTGCTCTTTCAAAATTGACAAGACTTAATTTTTAGCCAGAACGTATGATGATACTGCTATAAAGTGTAATGGAAGGGAGGCAAACACTAATTTGAGCTAAGCACAAATAGGAGGAACATTGGTGTTAAATTATCAAAATTCATTTCATAATTTTGATCTAAGCACATATGATTGGGTCAATGAATACTTACCCCATTCCCGAAATATTGATTTTAATCCCTTGACTTACCATTGTCAGGTAAACACGTTTCCTATTTGCACATAGTTCCTCATTGTTTTTAGTCGAGAGCGTATGATGGCTTGCATGACATCACATGGCAAATAGGAAACTATGAACTCTGACATCTCTAATATGGTTTCACCGGACATAGTGGAGCCGTGGTATTTCAGTAACATGCTTTTCATATATATTTATGTACTAATCGACTTATGAGATATCTTAAAAGGAACATTGGTAATTTATAGTTTAATCAATAGGCGATATTTCTTAGTTACATATATTTTATGCAGAAATCTCTTTCTATCACAATGAGAAGTAGACTACCTCATGGCCCTCGAATGCTAGCTAATCGGCCGCTTCTTTGGAACGGAGGAAATACCAGTATCATTCTCATATTAAAGATATACTGTTCGTAAATGTAGCGTTGACTGGTAAGTAAAATAAGTTTAACTGTCATGGTCTGTCAAATTTTGAATAGGTTTAAGCTTTTACAATGAATGTACAATTTAATTTAGACCATTGATTGGCAATTGGCAATTGTGCGAACTCAAATTGTTCTCACGAAAATATTATAACGCTTTTAATAGGCTCTGAAAGTATCACATTTTAACTTTTAAGTGCCTAATTATTATCAAACACCTCTTTTCCTACATTAATAAAACTACTGTAATTTATAATCTTCATCACTTTTGCTTATTATAAGCTCATGATGAGATGTTTAATGGGAAGTGGAAGACATAGATTTTTAGTGGTGATCATTTTCAATAATTTATTGACATATAAAAACTACAGTAATGTGTAATCTTCATCACTTTTGCTTATTATAAGTTCATGATGAGATGTTTAATGGGAAGTGGAAGACATAGATTCTTAGTGGTGATTTGGTGCGAGATGGATTGATAAACTGAAGCAAGCAATAAAAACTGAATTCAGGCTTGTGTGCGAGAACAATTATGATACTGGTACAGGGTACCACAATTTCTTCAACCAGATTTGTTATCAATTTTATATAAGAGTTATATTTTCTTTCAAAATTCAAATAATTATTTTTCCTCTGGACAGAGCAGACATTATATTTTTCCCTTCCGTTCTTTGTTGCCCCAAAAACCTGGGAGATTAAGGAGAAGATCACTACAACCGATGAAACAAAAAACTTCTTCCCCTGATGTGATAGCTTCAATTGCAAAATAGAGCATTCCAGAATAGAGCAAGAGTGCAACAAGCTACGTTGGGGAAAAAGATGCTAAAGTTAAAGATGTTACGGTGGAAACAGGAAAAGTTGGAATGGGATATGCAGGGAAAGTAGCTGAAACATTGAACAAAAAGACAGTAATTGCCAGCTGGGAGCTGCACAAGTATGACAACTTGTGCAAGATGCATCATTTTATACAAAATTCAATGAGAATATAGATTTTTTCAGCAGGAGCAGAAGCAGTGACTGATTATGCTTCGAACGATGGGAAGAATTTTGAATAAGTTGACCCAGAAGCTTTTATCGTCCTTATTTTGTGAATGAAAGAAATTTCAATCACTCCAAAGGGAAATGTACGACTGCTCTTTTTCTGATTATCTATATTGGTTTTATTTTGAATTTGAGACAAGTTTTATCCTTCACCTTTGCGTGAGTGCATAAAATTGCTGGTCCCTGGCACATATACAATCCGATGAAATTCAAAATGTTTATATTTTAGATTAAATATTTTCAATGTGATTACTAAATTTAGTCTGCAATATAGACTTACTATATCATTTTTTTCCTTTTAAATGATCCGCGCATCGCACGGGTACGCATACTAGTAAGTATAATAATAATATATAAATTATTCAGTTCTCTCTCTTTACCATCCTTTTGCTCTATTGTTTGCAATTTTTCTATTCTGGTTCCGAAGTCAGTCCAACTCGATTCTCTATTTTATTCATGATGGTGACTATCCAAGTTTGAGAACCACATAAATCTCTTGGTAATTTTTTTTTTGTTTGTTTTTTTTAGAACCATGCCCTGCTTTGTGTTTCTCCTTTGATCTTTAAATGTATGATTATTTTAAAAAGACTATTAGTTGTTGCTAGATTTGTAGACACATCAAATAAAGATATGATGGTCGATATACTTTTGTAAGAAATTAATCTTCATTGGGTATTCAAATCTGAATATAATATTTGATTGTCTGTATACACTCCATCATGCTACCATTATTAACTGAATGGTAAAGTTGTAATTTAATTGGTGATTAACTATAGTTTTTTGGTATTCTGTTGCTTGATTAATA